ACCTTCTGAATAAATGTTTCTCTGAACACCTCTCTTGTGTTTAAGATTTTTTATAAGGTTTTAGGGGCAGTAAACCTTTTTTACTGTGAATCTATACAATGCTTAATCATGTGGGGAAATCTCAACCAGGATCACTGAAATTTGTTGTAAACAACAATTAAGTTCTGCATTGTAGGATAGTATATTCTATGCAGTAGATATTTAAAACCAATATAGCTCTCAGCTTTTGCTAAAAGAAAATTACAAATAAGTAACATTACTGAAATATCAAATTGAGCAACTCTGCTTACTTGCGGAGTTCATTATTTTGTTTTTCCAGGCTTAATTTGATTTCCTGAAGATGGTTATTCTCCTGTTTTAGCTGCTTCTCTGACATTTTCAAGGTGTTGACTTGTTGCGTTTGCATCTTGAGGTCATTTTGAGTGAGGCAACGCTTTTGTGTTTCTTGCTCTATTTTTAATGTCAGGTTTTTTACCTGAAAAATAAACAGAAACTATTGAACTTCACAGACCTACGTAGAAAAGCAACACTTAAAATAGTGGTTTTAATAGATTTTTCTACTTTTTTGGTATAACATGCACATATACTTTCATAGACAAAGCTGTTTCCTGAATAAGGGTATCAATACACAATAAATAAGACAGTTTTCCATGTCAATCTCATTTCTTACATTCCACAAGAAAAACTTTTAAGTACAATAGTGCTGAAATATTTCAAAAAAATGAAAATATACTTTGTAAAGCAGACTTATTTTTATCTCTAAAATAAGAGGGGAAGGAAAAAGAGTTGTTCCCATTTTCATTCACAAACGTTCCTACATACTGCTCATAACAGGGAAAATATTAAGATATTTAAAGCCCGGTTCCACTCAACATTCCTTTTGCCATTGCTACTTACATCTTCATTTAGTTTATCCTTTTGCTTAAGGAGCTCGTTTATTTTCTGTTGTGATTGTTTGAGATCACAGTCCAGCATAGAACGCTGCTTTTCAGCCTCTAACAATCGATTTTCTACTTTTTGCTTTAAAGCTCTCTCTTCCAAAAGCTTCTTCTCCATTTCTGTGAATCAAGACATTTAAGATACCAGTCAGCGTAAACCAACGGTATTCAGTATTTTTCTGGGGCAGAGGGGGAAGGATAAGGTACTATCCCATATTAACCAAAAGTAATATGTCTGTGCTTTTAACACTGAAGAGAAAGATTTCTGAAAAGTGATTTATTAAAATCTGCATAGTAAACTTGCTACTGGAGGATAATTTTGCAAGCTTTTCTGTCCGATATCTATTTCTTATGTTTGAGTTTCAAGTTAATTTCCAATTTATCTGCAAAACATCTGAGATCAATAAAAAGGGTGAATATAAAGAGCAATAAGTAATCTAAATCTGCTGAAATATTGCTTTGACTATCATAACCTGAAAACAATTAAAGAGTTCAAGCTGTGAAGCTGTTCAGAAAGCTGATCCGCCAGGTGACTTGACAATTTTTGTGCTTCTTTTGAACACAGGCTCAAAATCTGCGTTAATGCTCTACAGTTGGAAAGATAAGATCCGTAAGTGGCTTTCTAGGTAGTTGCAATAACCCGTTTAGTTCAAAAATAAGAGTTTTGTCATTACAAAGTAAGTTGAAATATATTTTATTTAGGAAAACATTAAGAGGTATGACTGCACTGAATAAAAACACAGGTAAGCCCTCAACTAAAATGTTCCAAATAGTACTACTATATAAATTTAAGAAAAATTAATCCAGAATATACTAGCACAGAAAATGAAGTAGCAATCTGGATGATGGAGAACCTATTTTCTTCAAAGAGACTAAAAGAGTACATCTTTAACCTAGTGAACAAGAACAGAGGGACTATAACTCATTTTGCTAATTATACTAAAAAAGAACAGAGGAACTGAGGGAAAAAAACCCTACATTTAAGTTTCCACTAGCGTTTAAAAGACTGTATTTAATCTACCCTCCATACCCTCCATAATATTTAAGATCTACGATTATGTCAAACACATACCTTTCATGGCTTCAGACTTTGCTTCCTCAATAGATTCATAAATCTTATTTTTGTCTGCTAATCGTGCTTTTGTAGCTTTATGTTCAGCTTCTTCTTGTTCAAGGTTCTGCTGCATAACTTTGAATTTATATGTCATGTCTATTTCCATGTTGCTCTTTTCCTGTTAAAGGAAAAATTAAATTGAAACAAAACATTAAACAAATGAGACTGAAGGCAAAAAATTTTGGACAACGGTAACATGCTGCCTGGAAGTATACTAACAGTAGAAGAAACAGCTCAAGCTCTAAGGATTCGTTTCTACACATGTTTTTGTATGGATGGCAAAGGGCTCCAGGAGTGCACAGTGATGTTCCTGGTTGCACACAGTTATACGATTAGGGCCTTAAACAGTTAATTTTCTAATAAGAGCAGTTCAAGATTAAGTTTATTGACAAAGATTTGCTTCAATACTTTTGAACAAATTTGTCAAAAAAATATTAGCAGAAGCTTTTGTATTTTCAGCAATATTGAGAGTTAAAATTTCAAAATTTTCAGTAAAAATAAAGTGTTACTTCTGCACTATTGAACTACACACTGTAGTATATTATTACGTGCGTAAATCTAGAAGTATAAAGTATTATAATCTTAAGGGAAATACTGCAATTTTATTTTCACTTTCCAAGTTGCAAAAACAATAAACAAATAAGAACTTTAAAAAAATCAAACACTTGAAAACAAGGCTTATTTCATCATAGATTCTGTCTCAGTGCCTCAAGCAATAACAGCACAAATTTAAACATTGTATAAAAATTGAACACCAACACTCATCTTAAAGTGCTGTTACCTTTTCTAAATCTGTAAGTTTTTCCTGAAATTGCCTTTTCTCCATTTCTAGTTTGGCAGATATTCGACCTAAAAATGATCAAAACATCAAAGAGACTGCATAACTTGCAGAAAAGAAATGTACTATAGCTACTTAGGGATAAAAATATTCAAATTTAATATTCAGCATCTGAGTATTAAGAACATCTTCATTCAAAATTTTTCCTTTAAAATTTTAGAAGTTATCAACAACATTTTATAAATGTTAATGCACATTTTGTATAAAGCGCACACTTAAACTAGTCACAATTTGAAGTTCAAGTAATGCTAAAGCCTATTTTTATTTCTGAAACTAGAAGCAAGCTTAACTTCAGAACCCTTGCTGTAATACCTTGTAAATCACTGATAATCTCCGATCCATGACTTCGATCTCTCCTTTCTGATTCTAGAGCTGACTGAAGATTGAGAAAGTCCTTCTCCAGTTTGAGTTTAGCATTCTCGAGCAGGCAGTTTTTATCCTGCAATTCTCGATTATTAGCTTCCAACTGCTGGATTTGCTTCGTGCTTTCTGTCTGATTCTTTCTTAACCGGGCTGCAGTATCAGACTCTGATCGCAGCAAGGAATTGGCTTCATCCAACTACAGATAAAAATGTACTTCAGACACAATTAAAATATAACACCTCTTATTTCCGTTACAGAGTACTAGTTCTTATGTATTTAAGAAATAAAAAGGAGCGTTTTCTAATATTACTTTTAAACACCAAAACACGACAGGAGAGAAGAGCTTTTACAATTCCCTTACAGTTTTCAGCTCCCTCCACTACAAACAGAATCTGAACTTCAGAAAGCTGTTATTTTAAAATATACATATATAAAGTTGTCATGCCTGTCTTTGTAGCTGATTGATTTTCTCATTGGATATTTGAGAGTTCTGATTCCTCTTTTTTAAATCTTCAAGCTGGTCTTTCAAACTGTTAACTATAATAAAAACAATTCAACATTGTTAATCATTGCAATGAAACTTTAAATCGAACTATAATTCTTTTAAAAAAATACATCAAAATAGAACCCTTAAAATACAGTTCAACATACCCTCATTTTCCAAATTGCGTTTCTTGTCTGCTTCATGTTCAGCTTTTCTCTGGTATTCTGTATTCTTATGCTGAAGAAGAGCCTTCTCTCTTTCCAACTGTCTTACTGCAGACTCTACATTCTTCCTTGAGGTTATCTGGACATATTAAAGAAAAACGAAACAGACAAAACAACCCCGAAACACTAATTACACACAGAATCGTGGTATTCTCTAAATGATAAAAAGACAGCTCATGCACTGCAGTTAGTTTATAATGGACAAAGACACATTTCATTTGCTCACTGTAAACACAGTTTATCAGAACACATGTTCAGATCCAGCCCAGGCTGACAACGGCCTGGAACTTTTACCATTTAAAGACTGTTTGACGGTTGCATTCAATGAATCTGCTAATCTTTCCAGTAGCCACTTAGGAAGCAACAGTCGCAAAAACATACATGCACTGTAAGATCTCAACATGTATCTGGAATGGACAGTATGTTGTACACGGCTGTGAAAGACATGATAAACCTGCAGCAGCATGAGGGAGCAAAGTTGGGCCAAAAACAGGATCCGTCTGCCAACGCTATTTGAACCATACTACATGCTGCAAAGAATGGACTTCCTCCTCGAACATTATTCTCACATCTTCAGTTATAATTACTAGAATCATACATGGGATATTTATATTCCATTATCCTCCAAATTAAAAAGACGGTAAAAAACAGATTCTGGAAATCAACGTGTAGCAGTTGTGATGAAAATATTTTAGCAGTGACATCATTTTCATATTTGTGAATTTCAGGAACCAGTTACAGTGCTATAAATACACTGTTAATCAAAAATGATTTGCTCTTTCCTAAGAGGAAAAAAGAAAAAGCACAAATAAATGCTAATGCTGGAAGTCCAGTAAGAAATAACTCCTCTCTTACCTCTTCATCTAGTTCTTTCACTATCTTCTCTAAACGAGTATTAGTAGACCTGAAGAAATTTGAAAAATATATTTGAACCTCATTTATTATACAGAAATTAGAATATTTGCTTGTGTCTTGTTAATTTTGTGTACGATACACTATTGTCAGCAATCACATGCAACTTCAAGGGTGGGGGGAAAAATCACTCAAACAATAGAGAGATTGTTGCATAAAGATATAGCAAAAAAAAAGAAAGAAGGAAAGCAGGAATCACAGGAGTAGCAAAAAGCACATTATTTACAGCAGGATCTGCTTGCAGTGCCCAGAATCCCCAAAAGGGATTAAAATATTTTAAAGCATCCTAAAGCAAAAGGTTTAATAATACTTATTTATAAATATAGCAAACAGATGTCAAAATAATCTCACCTGTACTTCTGTTCTAGTTCATCTTTGGCTTGTATTTCATTGCTGAGCTGTTCTTCTAACTTGCTTAGTTTTTTCTGAAACTGTATAAAATGTCAAAAAAGCCCACATGTAAAAGGCTATCACATAAAACAAGCATAGTTCAATTAAACAACAAAACCAGGACAGAAATGAAAATTAATTCAACTTTCCATTGTATTTTTTTCTAAGTCACCAAAAGATTACAGTATTTTAGGTTCCCATCTAAGCAATGTATTAATCCTGATGATTTTTAAAATACACTCTGTGATGATGACATTTAATATAATTATGTGCCACAGAACATGAGATACAAAATTTCTACAGGCAAAGAGCATTGTTTCCGGCCCTTTGCTTTACTCTTTTTCTGTATAGAGAGACCTTTCTCTGGAGCAATATTTCGGGGTTAGTCTTTTCTAATTAAACAAAATGAATGCAGGAGTCGGGAAGGCAAACGAGCAAAATGGACAATATTCACAGAATACAGCTAGGCTTGTTCAATGACCTACGTAAAGAAGAATCGCTTAGTCTAGCAGATATAGAAGCTAACAAACACTTTTCAACTTTGGGAATATTCTGTTTTGCTTACCAAAACATTAAAAAAATCATATGTCAAGCACCCAAAATTTGTGAAATTAGATCATAAATCATGAATTTGGGACTCTTAACATATCTTCAAGTTTTCACACTCCCATTCTCCCCTACCCCCCAAATACGAAACACAGAAAGGTGGTTTTCTAAAATACTTTGTAATTGCTACAATTATGGGATTCCCACAACTGGAACTTTGAAAAGGACACAAAAACGTGAGATTCGTTGCTTGAAAAAATAAAAATGAAAAAACTGTCCTAAGTGAATACAGAATTTTACCAACAACTACCAAATCAAAATACATTTACTATGACAATTTACAAAACAAATGTCACGAACAGGGCACTGCAAACTTTAAGCAGCTGTAGAATTTCTTCTCGCAGGGAAACTCAAAACCATTAATCTATTCCGTAATAAACAGGAAGTAAAGAGGTAGGAGTATTTATGTTTATGCTGGCTACTATATGAATGAATTTCCTTTACAGCACCTTTTCAAAGTTTAAAAATTAACTAAGCTGAAACAAATGTTAACAATATACTATCTATGCTTGAATGAGACAGATGTTCAAGTAATATAATGCAATTAGTTTGGTACATGAAAAATCCATAGCATTCTTCTGTCAGCTGCAAATTCAAATTCAGCTGGCAATCTTCAAAAGCTGGATAAACATACTTCATTCACTCACCTCAACCGAGAGTGAGATTTGGGCTCATAAATATTCCTTTATTATGCTGGATGCCAATCTACTTTCCAAATCCTGGATAAATTCACCACGAATCGCTTAGGCAAGTGTGGAGCCAAAATTCACAACCTACCCAAGAGTGATGTTGTTTGTGGCAAACAGAGCCTTACACGTTTGTTTTCAAAACAAATTCTAGACGCCAAAAGAATATGAGAAAAATCTGTCTTCATTCATTTTTACACTACAATACTTTAAAATTTGAGGACGACTTCTCATTCATAAACTGTTTCGAAACACTGACTGGTTTACTAGTAACAGTTGGGGGAATAAACATTTAAGGTATTTCACGTTCACACAAATTATGTAGGAATAAGGAATAATTTGATTCCTTTCATAATTCAATATAATATACTTACCTCCCTGCTGTCCTGCAAATAGAAAATATCATTTTTACTGAGAAGTATTCAAAGACAAAAAAGTCCCCCACAAAATTCCTTGCAAACCTACTTAAGTATTTGTCTTTTCTTAAACAGATTTAACAAAATTAATTAATCATACACGAATACTTACGAAAACAGGCACTAACCTCATTTTTACTAGATTGCACGGATTCATTTTCTCTACAAGACTGAGAGGAGTCACTTAGCAACCTGCCAAAAACAAAAACAAATCCCAATCCCACCAGCTCTTATTCGAGTTTTCAACAACTCTGGCAACCTCGCTAATCAGCGCATTTTAATTGATTCTCTCAAGTCTTAATTTGTCTTAGGCTGTTCTCAGAACAAGTACCTCTTTCCAACTTGAATCTTTTCTTAATTGAAGTGTAACATTTAGACCTTTTCAAATCAATAGCAGATTATTAATAAACACACATAATTATTCCATAACTATCAGACACACCGAACCTGACTAATGATGCAAAATGAAGGCAAAATGGATAGAAAGTGTAGTCCTAGCAATGATCTTGTGTAAACTTTCTTCTAAAGCAACTAATAAAAATCTGTATTACAAATAAGTCGCAAATTTATCAGTATTTTAAACCACCCCCAGATTTTTAAAAGACACTATGTAATGTTATGCATATACATAAAATATTGTTTGCTAAATCAGAGTTATCAAAATAATCAAAACAGTGATAACTGATACATCCTACTTAAACGCAGCATTTTATGTCTTTACCGTGGGACAGAATTAAATATAATGTAATGAATAAATTGTGTAGCTAGAGTAAAAAAAGTACAGGAGATGAGGAAAAATCTCAAGTGTATTTCTAACAATACATATTAAAATGTAACATACAAATTCTCTCTATAGTAGGTAAATCCTATAAAAGGCAGCTGGTTTCCCACGAAGGCTTTGGGGATTGGAAAGGTTTCCACATCTCCCTTGTCATCCTCAATGTCATCAAAATTACTGCTGTCTATATCACTGCTCAGCTCAGGAACCACAGGAGCTGCAGCTACAAAAAGGGGAGAAAAGATTTAACTTTACTCCAAGATTCAACAACCTGGCATATACTGGTATCTCTATAGTGTTACAAAACCTCTATTATAAAGTTATCTTGCTAGTTGACATATATTAACCATGTAACAGATCTGTAAATATTACTGCTAAGACTTTTTTTCCTAAAGAAAAGTATTTTTAACATTAGTTTCCTAATGCGTGCAATTTCTAATGCACAAAATATATTTGCTAATGTAATCAAATTGCAGCATACAACTCCAAATAGAATCAACGCTTTAAGAAACTTCAGTAAATGTATCTGACTTGAGAAGTTATGGCCAAACTCTTAAACTGAAGCATTTGGGGGGGGGGGGGGGGGGAGGGTGTTTACCAACCAATTGGTTTAAATAACAGTAGTAGACTGACTGCTCTTAAACTGCTATATTAACTACAGAGGGTAAAAAAGAAAAACCACAAACAAAAGAAGACGAGATAGAGTGCAGCACGCATTCTCTTTGGTTACAATTCAACAAACCTCCAGGTCTAGTGCTCAAAGTAGAAATCTATA